CACACACACACACACACACACACACACACACACACACACACACACACTTAATGAGGTCATGCTGCTATCAGGAGCCTGGTGAGTTGAGGACCTCCACACCTTCTGCATTAGCCTCCATATTTTTGGCTCACAATGGTTATTCTGCCCTGACAAAGTTTGAAATAAAAATAAATTAAAAAACAGGTGTCAGTGCTACACCTGCACTCAAAAATCAGACAGATAGGATTTTTGTAAAATCAGACACTGTGACTGAATCCTTCAGCTCAGTCTATACAACATATAGTCAGCCAGGCCTCTCGGGGACCCACACCTCACTCTCACCATTTACATACACCCACAAGTAGGAATAAGACGCACGTGGAGCGCATTAACATCCTGGAACTAAATCAGGAAAGTTCTGACTTTTAATGAAAGATACATGACACGACTTCTTTTAACCATTTAAGTTCTGCCTCAACTCAAATGTAGTGCGTTGATTTCAGCTAATGATGGTGAGTGGTACTGATACATTACTAAGTGCATCAAAAGATTGTATTTCATTTTTCATTTCGTTTTACAAATTACCAAATCATTGTGGTCACTTATCATAAAAATTACATAAATAAGTTTATCAAAACATGATTATTAGCCGGCAGGTAATTCTACTTACTCCAGCATTACTACTTCTGCAATACAAAGAGAATCAACGTCTCGGACAGAGGGACGCATTTACACCTTTTTGACCTCGTGAGGTGTTTTGAACAATCGTTTTCAATCTGCTTTAAAATGCCTCTTGGATGCATTTACACAGAGCTTTTTCGAGATCGGATAGCTCTCCAAAGAGAAATAAAGTATAAATGGCATCAAAGCTCCCTTATGCTGTATTTTATAGAAACAAAAGGGACAAATATATTTTACAGCAATGTGGACACTGAAGTGTGGCAGAAAACATTAGTTTGTGTATCATATAATAAAATGTTATGTTGCGTGACTTGATTTACAGCTAGAGGCACAGAAACCATATAAATCATCCATGCTTCATTATGCAATGAAATGTCTGAAATTCAGTCTAATGTTTAAAAATAAATAAAAGGTGGGGTTCTTTGTGTCACAGTTACTGTAAATCTGAGCAAACCTCTGCTGCAAGATGTTAATAGCGAGGAGGCAAACACATTTTAGTTTTGGACAAATCCACACTGCATCCCAGCAATCCCCCAAAAAGTACCTAATGACTCTCTTAACCTCGCATTCCTCTCTGTCCATCTTAATTAACAGCTGCGCCGTTATTCCTCGCTGCTTGCCATTGTCTTCAAATCAAATGTTCCCGGTTGAAATCTGCAAAGACGGAACTTTTCTGTACATTCCCTGGAGCGTGCAAGTGATGAAGCCATTAAAGCGTCTGAATCGGACCGAGTTGATGTGCCGTAATCATGCTGAATTGTTGCGGCTGTTATGGCATTATATGCAGGCACTTGTGAGTGCCACCTCTGCTGGAAGCCTCATACCGCTTTTCTTTCAGGATCAGGGGCGTGCTCCGTGCCGGGTTTTAGGTGGGCATCGGAGCATGTCACGAACATTTGGCTAGACCCCCCCCCCTCTCTCCCGCCCCTCTTCTGTTTCTACACTGCGATCCACACACTGCCAAGGTCACTGGATTAGCATGCATGAGAGAAAGCGCACAATATTCGCTGAGCATGAACCAAACGTAAACAGGAACGGACACCGAGTACACACAGCATGCTCTGTAGCTCCGCTTAAAAAGGGGCATTTTGATTTGCTTCTTCCCTAGCAGCATGTGTGAAAGCATCAAAACTGAAAACCTTCCCTTTTGATCTGAATATTTCTTTTGTTATACATTCAGTTAATTTCCAACAAACCTTGTATACACAATAGCAGCTGACAGAGTCTCTGGATGTACTTGTGAAGCAGTGGGTTTAAAATCTGGTTGATGTGAGATTTGTTGTATAAAATGTATTCTCGCTTCCAGGAAACCTGTCACTATGTCAAATTGACCTGATAAAAGACAGATGTGACAATGATTATTTCTGAATAACGACACATATTGTTCTAAATTTCACTTTCATGGGAAGAGGAAGAAAAAAAAAGGGCATGTAGCATGTACAGGATATTCAAAAAGGTGTGGCTGCATCTATCCCCAATCTTTTCCAAAAAAACAAACACCAGATTGGTGGACAAAGTCATTCTGAATAAATAAGATAAGGTCCACTGCTGAATCAGAAGAAGAGTGACATACAATACAGCTCATGCACTGGAAACCAGACCTTTAAAAAAACATCAAAAAGGTTGCCAAATGCCCGAAACAGCTCATTAATGTAAACCGTTCTTATCAAGGACAGGACTTGAATTTCTCCGTCATCTTCCAAGTCAAAGAAATAGAAAAGAGGAAAAATAAATCATCTCCTCAGCGCATATCTGGAGAAAGACAGTAACATCCTGCCTGAGATGTTTCTGATAACTAACAGTGATACATGCCGCATGCCTAAGCGATGCTTGCTGCTTCAAGTCCCATGATCCTTTGTGCTCTCTCTCTGCACAAGAGCCCGTAATGAAAAACAGACAAGGCTCTCCCACTGCAGCGACCACAAAAACCTCTACTCACTACACATGAGAGATTAGCCTGCTCATTAGGAGAGAGGGAAGGAGCGAGAGGAGAGGGAAGGAAGACAAAAAGAAACAGGGACGCCTTTCCAGGAAAAAGGCCACGCTGAGGCAAGGGTCCTCTCGAGAGAAAACAGTCCCGGTCTCCCCTTTCTTACAGACTATACAAACCAGAACGGAGGTTTAAAACAGTGACCTGCTTTACATGTTTTGCATCAATGGCGCGGGTTGAATTGAGGCTAGTTTATATACGAAACGTTTAGCACGTCAGTGATGCTGCAGACCCTGTTTATGCAAAGCTGTAGTCGCTTAATGAATAGGACACAATCGGTGTCAGTGACGTTTAAATGCGATTTTCTACGCCCCATTATCAGCTGAAAAGCATGTTGTCTCACACTACTACTTATGCTCTCCAGTTGAGAAAATCTCAACAACTAACTGCTGCCGTCAAAATACATGAAATTTAGATTATGAACACTGAGTGGAGCAAAGGAAAAAACGAGGGTGGGGGGGGGAAGGAACATCAGTGGTTTGCGAAACACTTTGCTGGGAACCAGACTTGGGCCAATTTAATCCATTTAGTTCTTTGAGAAAAAGTGAAATGGCTCAAGTTGTTCTTCGGTATGAGCGATGCCAATTTTGAGATGGTGCATGTGAATTACCACATGACGCCTCGCTGAGTTGGCTGACGAGTGAAGAAAATAAGCATTCGATTGTCGTTTTCAGAGGTAGGGAACTTCAATTTTAGACGGGTAGAGTTTACAGGCGCCAACGCAGCCCTGCATTCACACAAGCCTGTTCTTTGGTTGCTGCTGGATCGGCATATTTGCCTGTGTGAGCAATGTTGCAAAACAAAGATGAGGACAGGATGAAAAATACACTGTAGGAGCCAGGGAGCTCATTTTAAGAATCAACTTGTAAACTGTCCTTTTCCAACAGCTACAGCACAGGGTGTTTAAAAAAAAAAAAAAATAAAAAAAAAAAAATAAAAAAAAAAATAAAAATAAAAAATAGGTGTTGAGCAACACTTCCTTGATAGCAGTCCATTTTCTAAACAGCATTCTTATTTCTCTCCGCCCTCATTTGTCCTACGCTCCCAGAATGCATCAATCAATTACCAAAAAGCTGTTAGCTGAGGAAAACAGCACCATGTTTTTGTATTATAAAAGCATAATTCACAGTCATTACAATAAGAGGAGTGCTGCAGTGTGTGCAGTAATTACTCTACATGCAATGATGAAGTCAGGTGCAAAAAAAGGTCCTCCTTTCCATTAGTGGATTTACCAGGAGAGACATTAAGTTTAAATCTGTGAGATAAACTGTTGCATTCAGCTGTACAATACCAACGGGTCAACTAGCAGCAAAAAAAATAGAGGAAAAGCAAAGTGTCTTTGAAGGTACGAACTACGAAGGCAGACTATATGCGCTGCAGAATACTTCACAGGCCCAAAATTGTTGCACTTTTTTTGTCTTTACCCGAGTAAACACTTTGAGGAGCCACACAAGTTGCCCATATTAAAAAAGACCTTCAGGGAACAAACATATAATTGCATGTATTTATGAGAAGTGGTGCTTGTAGTTTAGACCTCTTCAAGTTGGAACACGTACTACATTCGAGCCTGCAAGCACCTGTAGTCTCTGACATGTATGAGAGTACATTGCTGCAAAGGTTGCTTCACCACTCGCTGCATTCGTTGAATTTGTTCACCGTTCACCTAAATTACATTATTTTGTGTGGAATTGAGAAGATTGCTAAACTCCGCTGCCCCAAGTTACCGATGCAGACAGGGGTAGACAAAACAGGCTACTCATTTCTAGCTAGCGAAAGTCAATTTTGTGAGCAGAAATGACAGGTGCTGTAGCAGGTTTCTCAGCTGTACGTAGCAAGCTAATCAACCTAACGTTAACTAACCCTGTAAAAGGGCATCAGTAAGCACTTGATGGCAAATTTAAATCTGGAATCTCATGTCTCTTGCAGTGCTCACAATAGTCATAACATACAAAAAGGTGTCAGGTAAGTCTTTCGACTTACTGTAAGAGAAACTGATGCGAGGTGTGACATCCTCCTCAGTCGCCGTCAGTGATTGGAGGCAGATAGCTAATAGCAGCGCAGCAGCCAGAAGACAGTGGACAGTCGCAGCTAATGTCCACATGGTTGCCTGATCCTCTCAAACAGACATACACAAATGCACACTGTTTGTTTTAAAATTCCTTGGAATTCATTAAGCCTCCCTTGACTCCGCGGAGCTTTACTTTCTCACTCCCATCTTCCTGCGGGCTGAGGGGGAGTGAACGTGTCCTTGATTTGATTCTTGTACTCCCAGTGGTCCTTACACACGGTTAGCAGGCTCTTCACACAGAGAAGAGGAATCCTTTCTGGATTAAAGGCTGCTTGTTGTCATCTACTCATAGTGCTCTTCGACAGATCAGCACTAAGCTCCAACCGGCGGCCATTCAACAGAAGTAATTTTGATTCTGTGGAGAGAAGAGAGAGAAGTTGTTTCTTTATGTTTGATCCAAAAACGTAAAAAAAGAAGATGAAACACAAGCTAGAATAACAGATCCAGATCCAACTTCTGATGCTATAACCCACAACTATAAAAGCAAAATAACTGATACATTTGGACGCGGTTCATTCAGGCAAATGCTACATATTTGACTGCAAACAACGAATTGAGAATTCAAGAATTAAGGTGTTTATCGCTCAGAAATCACCCACCTCATCTCTCTGTCCTGAGACTTTAATACAGAAATGTAGCATACTGATGGCTTTGGCTAAAGCCTTGACGACAAAAACAAATATTTATGCTCCTATGGTTTACTCTTTCACCACACTGCCAAAGAAAAACTCAACTAAACAGACCGTTCAGACCACCAGCCAGCTAACATGAGCACACACATCATGTGGTAGCTTAAAGGTTTCACCAACTTTAAAGTCTAAGTGAATGTCCAATTTGCACTGAAGCCCACAGCGGTTCTCTCCGAGATAAAACGCAAGTTGGACTCTTTTTTTTTAATCCCCATATTTAATTAAGCTGTCAACAAATCGCTGAGAGATCCCCGAGAAGATAATATGGCAGCTTGGCTCTAATTTTGTGGCTTTGTTGGGAAATAAATGAAAGAACAGTGACTCCCAAGACAAGTCTGTAATTTGTCTCAAAGAGGAGCAATGAACACATCTGCTCTCTGACTTTTATTGGCCTCAGTACGAGTGTGCAGATATGGTCCCGGTTATGCAGATGTATGCCGAGATTTTTGATTTAGTAGGAGGGGGGGGGGGGGGTTGCATTTCTTGGAAAACACTTGAAATAGGTACTACTCCCTCTTTGTTAAACAAACACAGGACATGTGATTAAAATAACTATACAAAAATAATCATAAGACATCTATGATCAAAATTAGAATGTCACATGTTTTGCTTGTGTTGACAAATCAATATGTTGGCCTGTTGATGGTGCTAGATGAGAAGTGAGGGGATTACCAAAAGTACTACAATTCATCCTGAGAATGAGGGACAAATTGTTACTCGATTCTCATGGTTTTACCGATATCTTAAGAGTTCAGACACCTAAGTCAGTGAACAAAGCACAGCCTGTTTCTGTGATATGTGAACACAACTCACTACTACTTAATGCACAGCAGCGCTGGATGTCTCCCCCCTGAGCTCTCACTTAGGTGGCGACGTTGAGAAAGTAAACACCGGAGAGCACATGGCGTCTCTGGTTGAGAGCTTACATCACTGCTACAACTCCCACAGGACCTCATTCAAATGTTTACAGTATAGCTAATCAATCCATACGACCAGGGGGCTCAGTTAGTGGCCCCAGGTAGTCTACTGAGACAGTGCCATTTTAAACTTCAGATCAAACTGGTCTTACAACAACAGAAAGCAGGACAAACCGAGATTTACAACCCCGTCCCCCCGCCACCTGCCTGGACAGAGCAGTTGGCCAACACGCCTACAGACCAGCACCACTAGCAGTTTGCTAACTGGATGGCTTGTATAGTTCACTGGCAAGCTGTCCGTCTGGCATAATGTCTGCGTATCTGCCATTTTTGTAGGTAGGTGAAGGCTCATCTGTATCACATTTGCTAGGACAAGACAGATTACTCTAGTTTTTCCTGAATATAACCTCTCTCAGTTATCTCTGCCTCGCTGTCACACCCATGTCTCTGTCCGTCCCCAGGGTCTCAACCAGTGGACCAATACGTCTGTGTCCCTCTTCAATTCACTACCAGCCTGCTTTGGCTCCTGCTGCGTCACTGAAGCAAGCCAAGTGGGAGGCTAAAACACCAGTCCGTGATCCGGTAACATCTCCCTCCTCCTGTGGCTGGTGCCTCTCATGCCTGCTGAGATGGCAACAACAAGCATGGCAGCCCAGCGTGTGTCTCTCTCACTCTCTCTCTCACACTCACACACACACACACACACACACACACACACACACACACACACACAC